TTTGATGTGAGGTTTGATAAGAGTGGACAGGTTGCCAAGACTGTTGGATATCAGGTTGATGTTGTCAGAGGGGCCAAAGAGAATAATTTCAGATTTAGCTTCATTTAGTTGAAGGAAGTTTACTGTCATCCAGGACTTTATTTCATTGATGCAGTTGAAGATATTGGTGAGTTTGGATTGGTCGTTTGGATTGAGGGGAAGACAGAGCTGGGTGTCATCAGCATAGCAGTGGAAAGAGATGTCATATTTTTGAATGATTTGACTGAGGGGAAGCATGTAGATGGTGAAAAGAATGGGATCTAAGACTGAACCTTGCGGGACCCCGCAGGAGAGAGTAGCTGGGGGAGAGGAGAGTCTGCCTATGTTTACGTATAAGGTTCTATTGTTGAGGTAGGATGTGAACCAGTTCAGAGCAGTGCCATTAATTCCAGCACCATGGTATTTATGGTATGTTACTGTAGTGAGTTCTGTAGAATCAACTAAGCCTGATTTGTGTATTGTAAACACAAAGCTAACACTCCGAGATACTCGTGAGGGAGGAACCGAGGACCTGTGCGATGGGAGTTTTACCGCGTTTATCAATGTCTTGGTGAGTTAATGCTAACGCAGCTAGCGATATTAGCTCGTGCTGCAGATGATATCGGCGCCCGCTGCCGTGTAAAGTGTGTGCTTCCCTCCAACTGTTATACCACACTAACTTGGTGTTGCGACCTACTCCTAATAGCAAAGTGCTACAGTTGTTTTGCCTCGAGGTCGTTGCCGTTTGTATTTGTGTTAGTAGTGTACTGTATACATTTGCACTATTACAGTTGGTTATGGATGTTATTAACGATGAATAGTCAAGCGTAACACAGTGTATGTACTGGTGTAGCCCACAGTTTCGAAATATGTGTGTTAATAATGATTTTGTTATTCATAGTTAAGTTGAAAATGTTAATCAAATGGTTAAAAACATTAACTTTGTAGTTCAAAGGAAATACGTATTATTTGTAATTGATTAATATGCTTAATAATCACAAATTATGGATTAATAGGCTAATAATTCATGATGTGAAATGTAAAGACAGGATAAAGTATTCCATGCTGAGAAAAACTGTACAGTTAAAAGTTATTCATCTGCTCACTTTGTGTTACTGTGATGTATTTATGTGATATTGATTATGGCCATAAAACAATTGAAGTTGATGATGCAAAATAGTCATAGTTCTGTTTCCACACAGGTGAGGTTTTTGAGATCCTATGGAAAATTACATGTGGATTTGAGATTCTACCTGACGAGAGAGATGGCAAGCCACCCATGAACCTGATCTCTGCCTTGACCCAAGGAGTTGGATCAAGATCACCTATTATCTGCAGGAGCCCATCCATTCTTCTATCTCCATCACTTGAGCATCACACTCCAGTGTGGTAGTAGTATCACAACAAGCTTTTCCACTTGACTTGTGACTTAAAAAGTGCATTTGTCACAATAAAGGATTAAAACTAAACTGAACAGTTTGTAACAGAAGGAACAAAACTGAACTTGAATAAGACAACCCGTGGAACTCTGTTATTTTTTGTCAGGGACACTTTGATTCATCTTTGTATTATTTTCTGGTAATATTGTTACCTTGTGAAGCATTGAACTAACTGTTTTTAAAGGGTTAACATCTGAGTGCCACGCTACAGACTAAGGACAGGCAAACAGTGCAAACTTCATAATCCAGCCCGGTCTCTTTTGTTGGTATATACTTAGGTGGAAAGTACTGCCTAGCTTCCCTGTAAGTTTTGGGGAAATTACCCAGTACTTTCAGACTAAGGACAGGCGAACAGTGCAGACTTCATAATCCAGCCTGGTCTCTTTTGTTAGTATATACTTGGGTGGAAAGTACTGCCTAGTTTCCCTGTAAGTTTTGGTGAAAGTACGCTGTAGATGTGAGAACAGCACTTACCATGTGGTTTCTGTGTAATTAAATAATAAAAACATTTTATAACTTTTCATGATTCATTATTGTCTATTTTAAGATATATGTAGGCTATATTATTACATTACTGTATTGTTTGTGTTTCATCCTCGGATGGCACTACAAGACTTCCAGAGATGTGCACTTGAGAGAGGTAAGTTTGCTTTGTACTCCAGCCTGCCCGTTAATTAGGCAATTTGCAGAATATAGACCCATTTCTTGACATATTCATATTCAAACTCATTCAATGAAATGTAAACAAAACATAAATATTAAAACCCTGGAGTGTGGGTGAAATTGCCTGATGACACATAGGCTACATAAAAGTGACTGAATCAACTGCCACGAGCAAAGGGCAAAAGCATTTGTTTTTATTGCACTTCATACATATACAGATTCATATAAGGAAATTAAACCATAAGTTTTGGGAAATTACATAAGTGACGAGTTATACTCTAACTCCCGGGAAAGTATGTGCTAAGTGACCGTGAGGGATACTCTAACTCCTGGGGAAGTATATGCCAAGTGACCGTGTAGTTATACACTAACTCCCTGGAAAGTATGTGGTAAGTGACCGGGAGGAGTTATTCTCTAACTCCCGGGAAAGTATGTGCTAAGTGACTGTGAGGGATACTCTAACTCCTGGGAAAGTATGTGGTAAGTGACCGGGAGGAATTATGCTCTAACTCCCGGGAAAGTACATGTAAGTTCCCTGCAAGCGGCAGCCTGGTCCTGCTCACTCCCGCCCGAGCCGCTGCCTTCACCTCCAGCCCCAGAGCAGGCGCCCGGCTCATCCAAAGCACCGCCACCCGACGACCTAGGCAAAGAGGAGCCATAGGACTCTGTAAGACCTGTACCTTTTGCTGTGGTATGGCGGTTTCTGCCAGATGAAATGGACCACACAGGTTATTTTTATTTTATTTAAGCTTTTTTTTTTTAAAATTCAACTTTACTAAACATGTTTAAAAAAAGACACAGAAAAACAAATAACAAAAATATTGCATATAAACAATACAATAAATTAGTTGTTGAGTAAGTTAGATGGTATGTGTCATGTTCAAAGGGGTAGGAAGAAGTTAAGAATTTTTCTATGTCCTACCACATTATACTGTTGTACTATAAAAAATAAAATTTAAAACTAGGAATTCTATCTATGACAATCAGTGATGGTTTTGAGCTGACAACACTGATTGTTATAGATAGAATTCCTAGTTTGAATTTCTATGTTTTATTTTCAGGGTAAGAAACATCTGATGCTAGATGGACTGATGAGTGAGGTAGCCCAGACTAAATGTAGCCTTTTCTTTGTTCTGCTACAATATTGCTGCAATAAAGCACTTGAAAGACACTTTAAATATTCTTGCTTGGCTGGTATCATCCAACTTGAAATGACTGGAAAATGTATAATTTAGTGTTGAATAACGTGCCGGGCAAGTGCACCCCCTCTGATCTTAGATGCACCTCTAGTCATTATTTTCTGGAACCGGCCTTGGTTAGATATTGAAGGACTGGACATATTTACTATATGCCTCTGTACTCAGTTCTATCAAATCAATCAACAAAGCGTGATTTTTGCATTTTGCTAGATTTATGCTGATGTGCTCAGTAGGTATTTAACATATCAGCATAAATCTGACTTAAATAATGTGAAATGTGAGTGAGTAGCTTTGGCAAGACAGTGGTTTATTTAGATAGGCTGACCAAACCTCCTCTTTTGCCCGGACATGTCCACTTTTCACGTCCTGTCCGGGGCGTTTGGGGTTGTTTATAAATTGATGATAATGTCCGGTTATCCTTGTGTGTGTGTGTGTGTGTGTGTGTGTGTGTGTGTGTGCTAGAGTGCGGCACGGCCGCATATTTCTGTTCAAACCCGACAGTCATTCGGTTTTGTTATGTCCGAAACCGAACTGAGCCCGACATTATTTAATTACTAAAGCACTGAGTTTGTGTCACACAATTGTTATGGTTACAGGCTATTTAACAGGCCGGGCGTGAGCCGTGGGTGCTCCGCGGAGATGGAGACCTCCGTGTTTGAGACGGGAGCAGGCGGCGGGAGGTCCGAGGCTTCCAGCGAGGGGAGAGGGAGAAATATAACAAAATAAGATAAAATAGGAAAAACCTGTCTCCCTCTTTTATTTTATTTTCAGCGTTTAATCAAGGCGGAGGCTGGCGGCAAGAGATCCGAGGCTTCCAGCGAGGGGAGAGGTAGAAACAAACAGCCAATGTGTGTCTGTGTGTGTTCTGTTCAGGTGTTGTCACGTAAATAACAGAGCCCAAGCAATAAACAGGACAGACAATAGGATTTTATTTATTTTACACTACATTTTCACTGAAAGCTGACCGAATCCGACCCGAGCCCAAATACAATTTATACATTTTTGACTGAACCCGGCCGACCCGTTGGGTAGGCCTACCGTCGGGACCCGTTGGGCTCGGATCAGGTAGCCACACTCTAGTGTGTGTATGTGTCCCCTATCTATAGGGGCCTATCTGAATTTCTGTCTTTGAGAAATATTATTTTGTAACTGAATTTTCTATCCATACATATAAACTTTAAATATATTAAAATTATAAGGCATCTTTGAGTAAACTGCGAGTGTCATTTAAGTAGGCTATCTCGTGGCGGGCCGAGTGTCCTCTTTTTTGGAAATCAAAACATGGTCACCCTAATTTAGCCATATTTGCACTATAGTTCTATAAAGTCTGCAAATCCAGATTGAAGATTTATACGATCTGTACATAATTTCTCTTTATCAAAATACACTTGATGACTGTTAGATATTTAAAGATCAATGTATTTACTAAATGCTACTGAGTTTTAAAAAATCAGCTGAGCCTGATTTGTTGAACATTTGATCATTTATTATTAAAATGCACTTGATGACAATGTCTGCAATCTGGTGTGTTTTAATGTTGGCATAGTGAAGCGTAAACATGGCCCTGTTAATGGCACATAATATGGAACACATGTTATTTTTACATTCTAATGTCAACACAGCTAGATAAAAAAAAAAAAAGTTACGACAGCATTTACGGCTGTAGCTGGTTGATCTTTTTACGACAATGCATCATACGGCAAAACATGGCGCTGCGCAGAGCTTAGTGAAGGAATGAGACAACTGACAGGCGTTAAAGGCAAGACAGTTCGCTTTCTTTCTCTGCTTTGAGGTCCATACAGCAGCTCTCCGCTTAGCTAAGACTCGATTAACAGTTAGAGAGTAACAGCACAGTGTGAAGTGAAGCGAAATGGCGGCGCAGGGAGGCATCGTGTTCCAGCAGAAGGTCAGCAAGCTGCTAAGCAGACACGAAGGGAAGAAACCAGTCCTGAAACCCAACAGAGCTCTGTCTCTGAAAGATGCTGTAGCTAATCGCAAACCCAACAAAGGAGGTAAGTGATGAAGAAATACTGAGTGAATACCGGGGTTCTTCCGACGGTTTGCTGATATGACTCATTCAGCAGCCTGTAGCACCTGATACCGGGCTGTAACGTTAACGTTACACGCTTTCAGCTGAACATCTGTGGATAAAACTTTACAAGGTGATAAACTGATGTCGATGGATGGATGGACGGATACATAGATGGATAGATGTATGACACGCAGGCGTCCGCGTTTGCTAGACTTGATTCAGTGGGATCTCCATCCAGCACTCTACTGTAGTTGAATGTATCCATAAACGTTATACATAACATCGTTTGGGCCAGTAGGCTACATATCTTTCTTCCCTGCAAAAAGTAATTTTAATCCAAAAGAAATTCGTCTGATTGGCAACTGCAGCAAATTGTTGGGAATCATTGGCCCATCTGTTCAACAAATTAAATCTGCTGTTCATTTTCAATATTAACATTTATTAAACACATTATTATGTATTTCCCAACTTTCTCTTGATGAATTATGATGTCCAGTATTTATCTTCCCTATTACAGCACAGCACTTGGACAGTATGCTTTGAAATACAAAGGACCATTACTCTGGAACAACATGATTACTCTCACTTAATAAAAATATAAATATACATACATATATATACAGTACAGGCCAAAAGTTTGGACACACCTTCTCATTCAATGCGTTTTCTTTATTTTCATGACTATTTACATTGTAGATTCTCACTGAAGGCATCAAAACTATGAATGAACACATGTGGAGTTATGTACTTAACAAAAAAAGGTCAAATAACTGAAAACATGTTTTATATTCTAGTTTCTTCAAAATAGCCACCCTTTGCTCTGATTACTGCTTTGCACACTCTTGGCATTCTCTCCATGAGCTTCAAGAGGTAGTCACCTGAAATGGTTTCCACTTCACAGGTGTGCCTTATCAGGGTTAATTAGTGGAATTTCTTGCTTTATCAATGGGGTTGGGACCATCAGTTGTGTTGTGCAGAAGTCAGGTTAATACACAGCCGACAGCCCTATTGGACAACTGTTAAAATTCATATTATGGCAAGAACCAATCAGCTAACTAAAGAAAAACGAGTGGCCATCATTACTTTAAGAAATGAAGGTCAGTCAGTCCGGAAAATTGCAAAAACTTTAAATGTGTCCCCAAGTGGAGTCGCAAAAACCATCAAGCGCTACAACGAAACTGGCACACATGAGGACCGACCCAGGAAAGGAAGACCAAGAGTCACCTCTGCTTCTGAGGATAAGTTCATCCGAGTCACCAGCCTCAGAAATCGCAAGTTAACAGCAGCTCAGATCAGAGACCAGATGAATGCCACACAGAGTTCTAGCAGCAGACCCATCTCTAGAACAACTGTTAAGAGGAGACTGCGCCAATCAGGCCTTCATGGTCAAATAGCTGCTAGGAAACCACTGCTAAGGAGAGGCAACAAGCAGAAGAGATTTGTTTGGGCCAAGAAACACAAGGAATGGACATTAGACCAGTGGAAATCTGTGCTTTGGTCTGATGAGTCCAAATTTGAGATCTTTGGTTCCAACCGCCGTGTCTTTGTGAGACGCAGAAAAGGTGAACGGATGGATTCCACATGCCTGGTTCCCACTGTGAAGCATGGAGGAGGAGGTGTGATGGTGTGGGGGTGTTTTGCTGGTGACACTGTTGGGGATTTATTCAAAATTGAAGGCACACTGAACCAGCATGGCTACCACAGCATCCTGCAGCGACATGCCATCCCATCCGGTTTGCGTTTAGTTGGACGATCATTTATTTTTCAACAGGACAATGACCCCAAACACACCTCCAGGCTGTGTAAGGGCTATTTGACCAAGAAGGAGAGTGATGGAGTGCTGCGGCAGATGACCTGGCCTCCACAGTCACCGGACCTGAACCCAATCGAGATGGTTTGGGGTGAGCTGGACCGCAGAGTGAAGGCAAAGGGGCCAACAAGTGCTAAACACCTCTGGGAACTCCTTCAAGACTGTTGGAAAACCATTTCAGGTGACTACCTCTTGAAGCTCATGGAGAGAATGCCAAGAGTGTGCAAAGCAGTAATCAGAGCAAAGGGTGGCTATTTTGAAGAAACTAGAATATAAAACATGTTTTCAGTTATTTCACCTTTTTTTGTTAAGTACATAACTCCACATGTGTTCATTCATAGTTTTGATGCCTTCAGTGAGAATCTACAATGTAAATAGTCATGAAAATAAAGAAAACGCATTGAATGAGAAGGTGTTTCCAAACTTTTGGCCTGTACTGTATATACATACACACACACACAGTGAACAAAAATATAAACGCAACACTTTTGTTTTTGCTCCCATTTTTCATGAGCTGAACTCAAAGATCTAAAACATTTTCTATATACACAAAAGACCATTTTCCTCAAATATTGTTCACAAATCTGTCTAAAATCTGTGTTAGTGAGCACTTCTCCTTTGATGAGATAATCCATCCCACCTCACAGGTGTGGCATATCAAGATGCTGATTCGACAGCATGATTATTACACAGGTGTGCCTTAGACTGGCCACAGTGAAAGGCCACTCTAATGCTGTGTTCCCACCAAACGCGATTTAATCGCTCGTAACGCTCATAACGCGCCGCCCGTAATGCCCGAGTTTGGACGCCTGACCATTTTGTGTATATATATATATATATATATAAAAATCCAAGCACAGGGCAGAAATCTGAGAGCAGAAATTCCACAAGCACACAGAAACAGTTTGAGCACGAGGAGAAAAGCCGAAGCTCGAGCAGGAAATCTGTGCGAGCAAATGGTATCTGAGAGCGTGCAGCATGGTATCTGAGTGCAAGCAACATGGTATCTGAGTGCGAGCACACAGTATGAGCAGAAACAGAGTAGATCCAAGTGCAAGCAGAGGCTATTTGAGTGAGAGGGCAGGGTTTTTGAATGTGAAATCAATAAATAATGCTCTCAAACTGATAGACCACTCTCTTGAATAAAGATAGGGATAAAGCTCCATAACATAACCGTTTGCTTTAGCATATCTGGCACTTTATTTTAGGGTTTCATCTTTGCAAATTTTGAAAGTACTGCAGACATTTTTTTTAGTGGTGGGACTCGATTAAAAAAATTAATCTAATTAATTATAGGCTGTGTAATTAATTAATCTCAATTAATCGCATATCAATATTTGACACGAGAAGCAACATTTTTCAATTTAAATGGATTTTGGTATATGACTGAATCAATGAATAGCCACATAAATGAAACAACGAGATCATGTTTATTTTCCTAACTGAGTGTTAACATAAAGTGCAACATGAATAATAGGAATGTGATTGCATTGTCCACAAGAAACAAACTTAAATTCAAGCTGGCTATATTCAAGCTTTTTCAGGACTTTTTGTAAACTTTCTATTTCTTAAACACATTTGTTTTTGTTTATTAAAATAAAAAACAGCACTTTAAAGTACATTACAGAAAAGTGGAAACTGAACATTGCAAAATAGTTAGAATAATATACGGACCAACAGTTAAACATAAAGTGCCCTTTCTACCATAAATGGTTTTGAAAAACAACACAGAAACAAAAATGATCCATCAACTGATGACAGCCCCTCCTATTCTGCCATTGTCCTGAGCAAAAAATCTTTGCAACATAGGCCTTAACAGTTTGATCAACATCTTTGTGTGACTTAACAGTAACAACCAACCCATTGGCCTAGCATCACAATACTTCTTCTCCTCCTATTTCTCCCTCTCTTTCAGCCAGTTGCTGAGACAAACAAGAATGTTGACATTTTCAGAGCTGAGGGCTGCCCTCTTCTTTTCAACTATGTTACCTGCAAGTGAGAAAAGTCTCTCACAAGGGACAGACGTGGCAGTGCTAGCCAGATACTTGCGGGCCCGACAGACAGTTGTGGATGGGCCCCTGCATGAGTTGACCACCACTGCAGTGGGCAGTCTGTCTCGCTAATGGTGGGTTCTGCTCTGTAGAGGCCCAAGGCCCTGTTAGGCCCCACATCATCATCTGAATCAGAGTCTGACGCACACAGTAGGACTCTCTTCTTCTTTGCTGGCTCCTCTGTGGGCTCTGGAGTAGCACTTTTGTATTCTGTTTGCAGCAGTGCCTCAAGGCTGGTCCACACCCCTTCTCACTCTCCTTTGCGTAGACACTTTAAGTCCTTAAAGTGTGGGTCGAGTACTGTAGCCAGCTTGAGCCATTCACGGTTGAGTGTTGCTTGACGTTGGGATAGATCCTTTGAGAAGGCAGTCTTGAACCTCACCATGTAGGCTGGGTCCTCATCAGAGACCTCCATGGTGCGGTCCAGGTGGCAGAGAGCAGTTAACACCACAGAACATGAGACATAAGTCTCACCTCCAAGGAGCTCAGTCACATATCTGCAGTGGATAGTTAAGGAAAGGATTATTTGTATTACTGTACAAATTCAAGTAAATAAAATGATTTTTTTTCCTTTTTTAATTCTTAATCTTAAAAATAATAGTCAATTCAAAAAGCTTTTAAAAGGAAAAGATGCCAACTAGTGATAAATCATATTGATCAAACAGCTCATGGTGTAGGTGGGTTTTTACCTGCATGGTTCGAGGATGGTCGCAAGCCTCTGTAGTTTGTCCCACTCCGTTGTAGTCAGCATGGTTAGCTTGTGCTTCTGCTTGCAAAGAGTAGCCTTCACAGCCTCTTGGTTCTTCAGGAGACGAGAGATCATATACAGCGTCGAATTCCACCTTGTGGAAACCTCCTGTATAAGTGGCTCTCTTTTTTGCCCAAGTGCTGTTTGCTCTTGGTGTAGTTCATCTGTATTAGCAGGGCTGTGTTTAAAATGACCTACTATTTTGCGACATTTTGCCAGCGTATCATTAAACCCGCTGTCACCAAGGCAAACAGTGATGGTTCTTTGCAAAATGTGAGCAACATACGGCATATGCACAAATGGGAGCTGTCTAGCTGCAGCGATCATGGTTCGAGCGCTGTCTGTTCCAATTGTGGTGACCTTTTGTTGAACTCTCCAGGCCTCTGCCACAGAGAGAAACTGCTCCGTGCAGTTTTCAGCATAGTGCCTGGTGGTCGTCTTCTGCACAGGTCGGGCTAAAGACTTAAGATGCCATTCCCTGTCAGTGACATCAATAATGTGTGCAGTCACACCAAGGTAATTTGTATTGCTTACCAAGGTCCAATGATCCCCAGTCACAGCAACACCTTTGGCTTTCTCCAATAAATCAACTTTCGCTTGCTTTTCAGTGTCATAAAGCTGATGAATTTTGTTTGAAATTGTCTTTCTGCATGGCAGTTCATAAGTTGGGTCAGGCGACGCTATCTGTAGCACCGCTTCTAGCCCCTGATCTTCTACCACCGAGAGTGGTCGTCAGTCCACTGCAATCCATTTTGCCAGTGAGTTTGTTAGTTTGTCAGTCGTGGACTTACTCATTTTGGCTCTGAACCCTGTCATCTTGTCGAATGTGGATTGGTGACACTGCCTGCTCGAACTAGGAGCGTTGTCTGTGCTAGTTGCAACATGTTTGGCATTGAGGTGGTAGCGGAGGCTGGAAGAGCTCCGGTGATAGGCAAATTCTTTCTTGCACAATTTGCACACAACTGTGCTTTTATCCAGGTTTCCACCCGGTAGTTTTTTAAAACTAAAATTTCAGCCCAACGAACCCAGCAACGACTTCTCATCGGTTTCGGTTTCCATTGTTGTTTCTCGTGTTGTGTCCTGTGCATCAGTATTATGGGTATACTGGGAACTCTAAATGCGTTATTTTTTTTGGTCACGTTATTTTTTTCTGTAATTAATTAATCGTAATTAATGCGATAAAGTCCCAGCCCATA